TCTATAAGTGGACCTGTTCGTTTCCAAGGCGGTATGGATCCACTGAAGCCTCCCTCAAAGGAGAGCTAAAAAAACGGGGCCTGCACGGCCTGCACAGCCCATCCGCACAGGAAGCAGCCCTTAAAGCATCTAAAGGCGAGCAAAACTCTTCTGGCAGTCAGCAACTTGTGGTTCTCAGTCTCATCCTGAGGTTCAACATTGAGTTGTTCCCAGCATGGGCTCTGCCCTTTACGAAGGTGTGACTCTTGTGCAAGGTCAGATGAACTTTGGGTTCACAGTCCTAACACTTCCCCCACAAGCACGGAAGATAGGGAAAGATAGGCGCCAGCTTGCGCTCCCAGCACCTTCTTGCCCGAAGCACGGGATCCTCTGGATAAGATCAACCAAACCCCTTCACACAAGAACACCCCCTAGGCTCCAAGTACCTCCTCAGATGGTATGACTGGACCCTCCTGGCACCCACCCCAAACACCTTCTCTTTCAGGTACTTGGAGCCCTAGGGACCATCTTCATCCATCTTGCAGATCATTTAAGTCAACCTTGGCTCCAGCCACTTCGGCCACACCGCGCCGGGTTCCCGGTTCCTTCTCGCGCCGTTCCCGGTTCCCGCGCCAGGGGGAAGAGGGAGAGCTCCGAGTGGTCGGGTCGGACCAAACGGCCATTCATACTGAAGACCTGGCCGTGGAGGGCCGGGTCCCCCGGTGGAGGCGGTCAAACGAAGCCGGTGTTCCGAAGCCGGTGGCCAGAACCGCAGAGAAGCGGCAGAGGCGGCCGGTTCTGGAGATTTAGCTCTTTAAAAAGAGCACCACGCAGTTCGGGTGTTGTGTCCTTGTTTTGTGTGTGTTTCCCGAATCCCCTTTTTCACCTATTCTACAATTCTACAACATGTCATTAATTATTTCTGTACATGTGTTTACTTTCGAATCACCATACATATGATATACTATGTCTTCTCTCTCATGTTTCTCCTCTTTCCGAGACTTGTGGCCTCAGCTCCATCCCTCAGCATCTGCCGTAGCTCCTGGCCCTTTTTGCCTGGAGCGCTTGCCGCACCGCACGCACCGAGCCGTGGTGAGAGTGCGGAAAAGGACACAGCAAATGAAGGAGCCGTTAATAAGAATGCATTGAATACTTATATTTTGCAGATAATATCATATATTCTATCAGTGGAAGGACACATGTCCGTGGTTTCTCATGGTTTGCTCATAGTTCTTGTAAGTTTAAGAGTAAGTTTAAGTTAACTAGTTGTTTTTTACGTCTTTAGGCTGTTTCTCGGTCCTTTTCGGGAGGTGCATGGGTGCTCTTTTCATCGCCAAGCTGCGGAGCAGCCTGGAAACCGGGCGCTTGGACCTCGGTTGTTGCTCGGACCCTCATGGCCTAGAGTTTTGACCCTCACCGTCGACTTCAGGTATGCCCCACTGCTTGGACCATTTATGAAGTGATGAAGTCGTGAAGTGGTCAGCTTAGTGAAGCGATTTACTTCAGCTTCGGCACCCAAAAATTGAAATCTTCTCATGCCAAAAGCAAAGACCCAGGAACCGTGCGTTCGTCAAACACATCAGGAATATCAGTTAAAACCGCCACGGGTCCTGCTGTGAGTTCGTGCGGACGAGTCCGCGTCACCAGCTGCCCAACCACTGCCCTCCACACCCTGCCGCAAGGGTTCCAACCGCGGTGCCGGGTTGCGCTCGGCGCCCCCACAGCCCGACCACTTGAGCTGGAAAGTTCTGGGAAGTCAAGCATGGAAGGGCCATGCTGACTCAGAGTCTGGAGGGGGAGTCTTGGGGAGTCCTGCATGGTTTTTAGGGTGTGGATGCATGTTGTTTTGGTTGATTCAGCTGGGGGTGTAGATTTCAGCTGGTATTTGTTTGGTATTAGTATACTTGAAACATCTTGAAACCAACACAGCAAAAACCTGAGTCCTCGCCATACTCCTCAAGCCGCATGTTGTTTCCAACAATGTTTTTTGTGGTTTGGGACAATGTTCTGTTGTTCCATGCACCAGTTTTGATGCATGCAGAGATGTGTTCTCCAGCTGCGGGGAGCTTCAACAACATCAACAACCAACCTCCTCAAATCTTCTCCCGCATAGACTCATTAGACCCATCATGCTGTTATTTTGGAATGGAATGAATGCAGTCTTTGTTTTCCAAGCTCCAAGCAAAACCAAAGGGGTCAATCGTCGTGGCAGTCCTCAAGCTTCAACATCTTTGCGGAAGGTGTCCCCCCTGGTAGAAGGATTTTACAAGTCCTAATTATCTTCACATTCGCTCCTGATGGAGATAGAGCAGAAAGTGAGCATGAGAGTCCAAAATTGGGCAGCATTCAGCACTTTGGGGGGCCTTTCAGCAGACCCAGCAAAACCACCAAATTCCATTGACTCTTGTTCCAACTACTCCTCTTTTCCTGCCGATCTCTGTGCACCATCTCCCTGTCAGACAGTGCCATGTGCCAGCTTTCACCCGTCCCCATGGCACCAGCAGATCTTCCCGGGCGCGACCGACCCGGAAGGGTCAGTCGAGACCGCGACCAACGGACTCGTCGAGCCAGTCGAGTTGGGTGAGTTGACGCCCGCCGCCCGCGTCCTGCGAGAGCCGCATCAGGGTGAGGAGCGGTGTCTCGGAGGCTTGGATCTTCGAGGTGGCCTGGCCGGTGCGAAGCGGGTGAAGCGCCTTCCGCGAGGGGCGGCCTAGTCAGGATACAACGTGTCGAAGGCTGATGAAGGATCGAAATTCTGATCAGGCATGTGCAATCGTATGCAGTCTTGCTACTTTGAAAGTGTCATCGCCCCACGCTGGCTGACACAGCAAACCGCGTGTGTGGGTGCATTACAGGACTCGTACTCTTCAATAAGGGGAAGCACCGCCTCCATCAATGAAACCACCTCCGCCACGCACCATCTCATGAAAACACCCAGTTCCTCAGTTCCCGCTATGTTGCTACACTCATCAACGCAACGCCGATTCCCATGTTTCTTGATGTTTCGAACGAATCATTTGTGAGTCCCCAGCACGAATCTGGCAACCACCAAAGCAATCCTCCCTCTCAGCTCCCCAAAATTTGGGTCGCAACCCCCGAAGCTCGTGAAAAGAACTGCAGCCAATATCTGGAGATCCATTCACAAGCTTGGACATCGCAACAGCAACAACAACGAGAATTTTTGCAGGTTTGGGGGAAGTTTGAAGAGTTTGGCCTACATCTCGTCTTGCGGGTGTGCAGATTGCTCCAATGGCCAGAAAAGCTTCTGCTGTCCAAAACACGACATGATGCACACCTGGAAGCCGATATCTTTGATCTCCCAGTTCTTCAAGATCTGATCCGAATCCTCCTCCTGGCTGTGGAGTGTTCCAGCGGTTTTTCGCGCGGAAAAAGAAGGTACTGCGACTGGACAGCGCTGAAGTGCACACTGCTTGAAATGTCCCATTTTTACAATGTTTTCATTTCTGACAGCTTGTGCTTTTCTCCCATTTTTTAGAAGAGACAACACTTGCAACATGGAATTTACAATGGCGAGCAGCCGAAGCTGCACTCATTTTTTGCGGACACGCGTTTTGCAGGTGTATGTGGTTTACAGTTTCGGCCAGGCTCGGGCCAACGCCTCAAGCATCAACTTCAGGACGTAAGTGCAAGCGAACGTTAACATGCCCCA